GTTCATTTCTCTAGAGAAGTGAGGTAATACAGGACTTTAGTGTATATATCTCTTTCAAATATGAACTTTTTTTGATAGTGCAGGTTATTGAGCCCAGGACTTTGTACATGTGAGGCATGCACTACCCTTGCATACCAGCCCTTCCCAAATGGGAACAGATCTGAATATCTTGTCAAGGCCTGTAATTCCTTCCCTACAGAGAAGTGTACAAAATGAAATCACTAAGTAAACATCCAGAGGTTTAATCACGTATGATTTCAAAATCAGGAATAAGGATACAAATAGCCAAATGTGTACTCCTTAAAAAGCTCATTAATATGCAAGGAAAATGAACTGAGTATAATTACAATTGAATGTAAGGGATATAAAGAATTGCAAATGTCACCCTGAAAACTGATAAGATCTGGAAAGACTAGAATCTTGATATTTCAACCACGCTGACTACAGTTCTTTTTTTTTTTTCCAGTACCAGGAATCGAACTCATGACCTTGCGCTTGCCAGGCAGGCACTGTGTGGCTGAGCTAAATCCCCAGACCTTTTTTCTTTTTTTTTGGTTTTCTGCTGTCTCATTGTGTAGTTCAGGCTGGTAATGAACTCACTATGTATCCTGGGCTGGCCTTGAACTCAGGGATCTTCTTGTCCCAGCCCCCTGAGTGCTGGGATCACAGGTGTGCCCATTTACTTTACAGCAATTTCTGGAATGTCCTTCTAGATATGATTACAAAGTGTGAATTAGCTGGACTTGGTGCCTAATGCCTCTAATCCCAGCACTTGGGAGGCTGAGGCAGGAGGATCACTGAGTTCAAGGCCTGCCCAGGATACATAGTGAGTTCAACAGCAGCTTGAGGGCTGGGGATTTAGATCAGCGGCACAGCACCTGCCTGGCAAGCCAGAGTCGTAAGTTCAATTCCCGGTACCGGAAGAAAAAAACCAAAAAAACCCAAAAACACAGCGCCAGCTTGAATTACATAATGACACCTTGTCTCAAACAAAAAAAAATGTGAATGAATGGAATATTCCAGGGACTAGGAAATGGTGATCCTGAATTTTGGCAACGTAAGAGTAAGTAACAGAGTGAAATCAGAAACTCATTTTCCTAATTGTCAGCTTAGTACTCACTCTAAGCCGCATTACCTGTGTTGCCACAAGGCAAGGTATGTCATTGCCTTTCTTATTTTAGAAAAAGGTTGTACGAGTTCCTTTGGGGTCTGGTGGCAAAAGACACCTAGTATTTTAAGAAATGCTAACTGCTGCTGATCATTAATGGCAAAATGTTTTTACATGTTACTTCTACATTCGAGTTGTCCTTTATTTCTCCAAATAATCATCACTTTTCTGTTAGGAACAATCAGAAATGACAGAATATTGAAGAGGAAAGGGGTCTTAGATATTTTCTTTTTTGTTTTGTTTTGAGGCTGAGATATATTGTCCAGGCTGGTCTTGAACTTGGAATGCAGTCCAAACTGACCTTTAACCAGTGATCCTCTTGCCTTACCCTCCTGAGTGTTGGAATTTAGGCATTTGCCACCACACTTGGTTCAGGTAGGAGACCCTTCCTATCATCTCAGTGGGGACACTAAAGACCAAGGAGATTTGTGCAGATTCATACGTGTTGGGGGTCTCCTGTCTTCCCTTCCCAGGCACGAACAGCATATGGCACTACCTCAGCTAACCAGGATTCTTAAACCATGGCATAATTGGGGCCCTCAGTTCTGGTCAGAATGACAGTGCAGGGAATGCGTGTGGCATTTTATCTCAGTTACTTTTGCCATTCATTTATTCAATACATTTTGATTTTGATACCTGATGTTTCAGCGGTGGGAATAGAAAAAAAACAAATGAATAAAATTTTGTGTGGCAAATATGATTTAACTTTTTAAAAAAAGAATGAGTGAAATGAAGCTGGCTGGTATTTATAAAAATTGCAATTTTTCACGGAAAGAGACAAAGTAAGAGATACGGGAGTGATGGCTGAGGGAGTGGACAACTTCTTACTACTAAGATCTCTGCTCTGACACTCCCTGGGGTTATCTATTGCATTTCTCTTAATAACTCTGCAGGTTAAAGGTCAGCTGTTAGCGTCATTCTCAGAAAGAAACTGAGGCACAAAGAACTGAGGTTACAGAGAACTCCTGTAACTTTGCAAGCTGTAGGGTCAGGTCAACCCAGGGTCTGCTGGCTAGGAAGCCTTTGTCCTTTTGCTAATGCGGAGTATGTGTAAGTGGAACCAGTGAAAAGAGTAACTGCAGGCAATATCAAAGCAACGCTAGTTAGTATAGTGCTTTGCATGCGATCTCTCTGAGTAGGATTAAGTGAGCACAAGAATAGGATTGGTAGGGAGTCCACACTTGTCATTACAGACACAGGAGAGGAAGAAAGGACATATACAGCACTTAAGATTTCTTTTGGCTTGTTTCCCGAAAAATAATTGAAAAGACTCAATTAGTTTTGTTTTGCCATTTATCAGATTATAATGTTCTGGATGTAGGTGGAGGGATTGGTGTGCCATTGTGTGAAATCAAACCTGATTTATTCAGAAAAACTGTTCTAGTGTATAAATGTGCTTTTTGAGCTTGATATTCAATGTTGTAATTAGTAATCACTGTTCCTACTGGACGTGAGTTTTAATCTCTACTTGTTTTCTTTTGAATCTGAATGTCATTTATATTGTGTTTCCTTAGGGGGGTGTCCATGAAACAAGTATGTTACTCTCCATGTAAGAGCAAATTTGTCTTCTGTGGAAATCATCAACCTAGAATTTTTACACATAAATATCCCAGAATGAATATCTGATGATAAACGTTATGCTTTATACTGAAATTCCAGTTTCAGCACTAGCCACCACCCTATTTGGAAAGCGATGTCCAGTTTTGTAAGTGTGGAACATGAAGGTGATGTCGGTTAGCAAGTGATCACTATCTTTTAATGAATTAATACTAATTTGCAATTAATCAGTTCAAAACCAATTTAGGCACAGACAGTGTTGCAGTTCCAGAATTGGATTATCTGTATTTAAAAATGTCATCCCTTAAAGCTGTTACTACAAAAGAGCTGTTTATTTCACCATTCAACCTAAACACAAACCCTTCCAAATTACCCGCCTTTTTAGCCACGTTTTTTAAATCGACGTAATTTTAAACTAATCAGGAAGAATCCATTCCTAGAAGTCAGACAAGAGTTGGACCTGGGACAGCCTAGGAAGGAGGATCATGTAAAAATCCATCTCGCTGCAGGGGGAAACCCCAAGAATTTGTGGACTCCCGAGGGAGGCGAAGGCAGAGACCTGAAACCAGAGCCGAGCGCGGCGCAGGCCCAGGAGGCTGCGGCGCGGGCCGCGAAGAGTTAACCCGGCCGAGCCCCCCGCGCCTGCCGGGCTCCCCGCGCTCCCTCCGCCCCGCAGCCCCACCCTCTCCTTTTGGCAAGGGATTAAAGTGCTCCCCCCTGTGGCAGCAGTGACCCAGAAATGAGTTTGATTCACACAGTCCTCCCTCCATAGCCAGCGATCGCCGCCCGGGAGTCCTCCGCGCGGTGCCGGGTGTGCGCGCCGGCTCCCGCCCGAGC